AGTCCAACAATGATCAATCTGTGCGAACAGTCACAATAGGGCCTTTTGTAATAATGGACAAAGAGGCAGCACAATTGGTTTAGGTCATGAAGCTAAGCCCTCAGCCTCGAGAACGAGGCAGCACAGTTGGTTTAGGTCATGAAGCTAAGTCCTCAGCCTCGAGAACGAGGCAGCACAGTTGTCACACTAATATGAGGTCATATCTTTCAAAAGCCATGATGTTCCTTATTCTTGCCCTGCAGGCTTATAAACACCTTGACAGAAGCAGCCCAAACTGCGTGCTGTGTTATGCAGTCCTATGGCATGGTTCCAGGGTGCAGCCAAGACTACAGAAGGTGCTGATGGGAGAGATGAGGGTTGTAAGCCTGTGTTGGGTTAGATTATCACGCTCTATTAGTCACAGACTGGTTTAACCAAAGTAACCAATGAGAAGTAGGATAAACAACTTAGAGAGCGACAGCACAAGATAATCCCACCCACAGTGGATCCTGAAGCCTAATTTCTCCAATCACCTACAGAAGGTCACCGCAACATGAGTAAAAATCTGATTGGCTTGCCATTACTCATCGAATCACCTCAGTGAGCGACCCATGACCTGAAACGGCAACTTTCATTCTATTACAAGTCCTTAACCATCCTCCTCCCTCGGTAAGCCCCATTGAAATGTGCATAGAAATGTCTTGCAGCTGGTACCAAATACATCTGTGCATTGGGGCCACAAGGCTTTAGACACTGTTGGAACATTCAACAGGCGCCAGACAGAGAGAACATGCACGACAGCATTGCAATCAACAGCACTGGTTTTGCAAGACACTCCCATGGCGATCACTGCAATCGCTGCGCGCACTGCGTTACATGCTGTTACGATTTCTGAACAAACTCTAAAATATGTTACAGGTTCTTCCTGCTGGGCTTGAACGGTTACACCCAAAAAAAATCAAACAAAAGTATAAGGTTTAATGTGCTCATTTATTGAACAACTCTTCGACAAATAAATATACAGTTTCTTTTGTTCTGCTGTTTCATTAAGTGTCTGACAGCATAATTAATCGCGTTAGGCTTTAGGCTTGGCCAAGCGTAATTACTTTAGATCAACGTCAGTACAGTGTCACATTACTGCTAAACAGAACTATGATTTAGCTTGTGTACTGATAGTAAGAAAAAATGTAGAATTACTTGCAGAGGGGATTTCCTGTGTCACTATAGATCACTTTCTCAGCTCGTTGAGAGAAAAATTTCTTGGTGAAGCTCTGACTAGTGATTAGAATTTGTTACATTTTCTGTATTTATCTATTGTGCATAACAATAAATAATAAAAAAAAGCTACAAAACAGATCATTTCACCTTATAAGCAACAGAAATGTGCAAGGGTCTGAAATCAACAGAATACATTTTTATTGTATTGTGTTTCGTTTTTGGGGAAAAAGTCAGCAGTGATGTCACCGTGCTGTTTTTAGCATCCAAGCCAAATTTAGACTGCAAATACACAGGCAGGCTGCTTCCACAAGCAGAACTTACACCATGCATTTCATTAATTCCACTGACCAGAAGGTCCTACAAAGTGCCTTCAAAAAAACGGAACTCACATAAATTTTTTAGATGTTAAAGAAACATCTCCTCTTTCTGACCGAATGCATCAGGGGCAGCACAGTCACACAGGTCTCGGTGAAGTTAAACTTTAAATACTCGAAGTATATCTTAATCATACAGTTAGTATGTCTGGATTAGTGTTTTCACTCTTTGCTGCTGACAAGTACAGCCACAGTGACCAGTTCTTCATATAGGTTAATATAGGGTTTACCCACCCTGAAGCCCAAGGGCCTCTGTTACAAAGGGGGCTCAATCAACCATGTTTAATAAAATGTTAACCCCCCTCCCCAGTCGACAGCCTTTACCGCTGACAACTACTATATCATGGAAAAGAGTAGGGGGCCCTGATTCTGTTCATAAGCCTCTGATGATAATTATTATACATTCTGATGATAATTATTATACATACTGAAAATGACTGACAATTAAGAATTAATAAGTATAAATGCTGCCAAGAACGATTTTGATAGCAAGGTGTTTTTTTAAGCCAAATGCATTGTTTAGAAACTTCCAAATTAACATTTTCAGTATTTTCATATTATTCCTATTAGAATATTTTAATAAAAATTTGTTTTTACACCACTGTTAATAAAATTATGAATGCACTGATTATAAATTATGTTTTTCCATCTAGGCAAAAAATGGCATTTCTACAAGGACAAATTGTGCAAAAATATTTATTAAAGAGACTTACTGCCATCTAGTGTTTTCTGATCGACATAGCAGAGATAATGTAAGCAGGCTTACTGACCAGGCTACATGGCAAACTAAGGTACGAAGGAATATATTGCAGATACTGCAATGATAACATATTTTTGAATGACTGCATTTAACTGGAAAGAGTTCCTTGTAAAATTCTGAAAATGTTGGGACCATCCTTCCATCCATCCATCTTCCAACTGCTTATTTGGGCTTAGGTTAGAGGATATTGAGACATTTCACTTTGTAAATGTGTGGCATTCATTTTTAAATAGGTTGATTCCCAAATTGTTAAGAGGAAATGTAACTGAAAATTAATCCTGTCACAAGTAGAAGAGTAAAAGTAAAAAATGCTGAATGTGATAGTGAAATAAATGTTAAAGATTAATTTTTAATAAATAACAATATAAAACACTTTTTTTTTTTTTTTACACAATTTATTTATTTATAGTTTGAACAAATTTCAATAAACATAAAAAGTGCCTTTAACTCTTGGCTCTTTCACGTAGAGGATGCCAATTCCCTGCCCACAAACCAACAAGGAATATTGGGGAACAAGGTGTCCGACTTGCCTGATGGTACATTCTTAATGGTTAAACGTGGTTGATTGTTCTCCTTTTGAGACATACACACAATTGAGAGTGAAGCTTGGGATTCAAGTGCAGCCTGTGGGGGGGGGTGGGGAAACAGGTGTGGGCTATAACCAGTTAACCAATCACTGAAAACTACCGACACAAGATACAGGTGAGGGTAGTAATCAGAATCAGTTCAGATTCAAATGTTAAGAGATACTGGTAACATAGGTACGCAGAACATAATAACTAAACTAGACACAGGTAGGGTAAACTAGAACCAAAGACACAAGAGCCAAGGCCTAAGTTGAAATATGAGAACAATTACCAAGGTGACAAAGAAATTCAAAGGTTCTAACAAATAACAAATCAGAATCTAACAAAAATATCTAAAGAACTCATGATGGTAGGGGGGCCTGGTTCTCAGCTCAAACAGCTACACGGGGAAGAGGGGAGCACACTAGGACCTGTGAAGCGCGCAGGACTGGGGGAACACAAATGGGATGGCCGGCGCCACCAGCTGACCAAAGAGGGGAACGGACACGGCAGGGATGGATCCTGACAGTAGATTTTCATTGATATAATGGTTTTGTGAAGCAGTAATAAGATCAATCAAAGATCAACTAGAGTAATATTTTCAATTTAAATTTTTTATGTTCACATGGTCAAGCATCTTAGTCACCTCTCTCTTTGCTTGAACATGGAAAAAGATCTGTCAAATACTTTTTGAGTTGTGATAAAGGGATCAAGTGTCATAAATTTCACTTTTTTGCTATCACTATGTGGCACTGTTTCAGTTTTGGGGCTATCTGACAATATATGATCACTTCCAGTATGTCACTCATACAACATGTCTGCAAAGTTTGAAACAGATCCGTATTTATTTTTAGACTTTTTATATAATGTTTTTAGAACTAGTGTGTTTATAACACCAGGTGTCTTCTATAGCTGCCTAACTTTCTTTGCTGCCATATAGTGCTGCTGCTTCATTTCTTGGGCAATTTATCTCAAAATAAGATCAGGCGTGCGTCATGTTTTTGCGAAGAAATAATAATACGCCCCGCTGAAAAGGCAGATCGAGCCCTGAGTGGTGTTCAAGTCCCGAGACCATACGCAAGGGAATTCAATTACAGGTATTCTTAGGCTGGCCTTAGTCATTGTGTCATGCCTTTAATTTCGATGATACCTTAAATCAAACCTCATATTCAAATTAGAAATTCAGATTAAAAGTCTATGAGACGAGTAAATAAGAAGTACATGATAAGCAAAATATTTGACTAAAGTCCACTGAAGCCTTATCAGTTCATTGTTGAGCAACTCATGAATCCACCTAACGTTAAAGAAGGGAAATACAACTGAATATCTAGCGACATAAAGTTGGATTGTACGCCCTTGCTACAAAGACACATTCGTTTTAACATTTCGCAAGTAAATGTCACGTAAGGTGAATCTGCAGTAGAATGAAATATCTAAGACAAATATAGGAGCAATATTATCGTTTTTAACAACGAAAGTTAGGATCTTTTACCCGAGATTTCGTTACAGCTTAGAGAACATGACGAGGGATCTCAATGTCTGTGCAACGCCGAGCTCGATTAATTACTGTCAAATTAACGAATAAACATCGACCGCGATTTTTTCCCAGTTTCAACCTAATTAAGAAAATCGCATTTATTCGGGTTTCAAACACGTTATGATGTAATAAAACTGTACCGTCGATATATGGATTGTTGTTCTTTCGGGATAATAGCGTATAAAAGGGAAAGAAGCATTTTGGCAAATTCTAAATAGTGTTTTTAGGTAGCCTATTTAGAAGTCGTCAGTCCTCGGGGATCAGCAGCACTTATAATTTACCTGGTTGGCGCGTGACAAGTGGCCGTCTTTTCCGACCAATAGGAGGCGTTTCCGAAGCGCTGCCTCCTGACCCCAATGCACAATACTCTGCATTTTTTTCCGCTACTACCATCTGCTTTTAAAAAATAAAAAAATACATATTTGCAGATGCAACCACAGCCTTGTGCTTTTCAAAGTCACATATATTGTTAATCCACTCCTGTTAGCCAAGCAAATAAACAATCTTCCCCGCTATTGACGCATGCTTACGCAGCAAAAAAAAACAACAACATAAAATTCCCCCACTCCGACTGCAAGTTCTGCTTTTTTTCTCGGTATATGGTGGTGATACGACTACATTCGTTCAACTTTGATACGTTTTAACATAACAGCGCAAACAAATTGCCTTCTAAGCGTTACAATGTAGAACATGAAGACTCCAGTTACGTTTATTATGAGCATACGCAATTTCAGGTTAACACAGTATTGATTAATGATTTACGGTAAAGCGAGAATTAAGATATAATGTTGCTTGTACGTATGTAATAGACTATAGACAGATCGTATATGTTTGCAGGATTTGGGCGAAAGACGTGCAGCGTATCCTACTTTTCCGAGGTGCAAGGGTATGCTTTCGAGCTTAAACAGTGTTTTATCATCGACCGTATCTCATCAGACTTGTTCCGCTACGGCTGGAAAGCCCGGGATTTATCTCTACCGCTTTAGTTTGAAAATAATAGAAGTACATTTTGGAGACATCATTTTAACACTCCGCGACTTTACTCTGCTCGTTAACTGCTTTTAAATTAGGCACTTTTAGATTACACTTCCTTAAAATGACAAGTAGCCTAACTGTTAGTAACAAAAAGCTTTTTTCTTTCATACCATGCAATTCTGTAGTGAAAACGATCAAACATCTTAAACATAAATGCATCTTTGCATAAAGTATTCCTTTCAGTTTGGTAACAAATGTTTAATTTCTTCCTGGCGGGCATGTTGTATTTAAAATATACACTGGGGTAAATTAAATGTACTGGGAGGAAAAATGAAAATAAAATTAAAACCCGTTTTAAAAACTTGTAAACTGCGCTTGTGCATCAAAATACCAGGAAATGTTGATTTAACCTTTACAGATAAAATATATAATCAGAATCAGATTTTGTTATATTAAATTTATAATGCAATTTGAATAATCGTAGAAGATTGTAAAACATTCTGCTTTTCATGCGACAGAATTTAACCTTCATATACAAAATGGAGTTTCATTCGTTGTCATAATCGCTAATGGCGCCACCGTCTGAAAAGAGCACAGGCAGACTTACGCCATTTATGCCTGCACGTTAACACTGTAACAAAGACCATTTGTTGTTCCTCCATGACAGGACCCGCGAATGGCGTTCTGTCGGCTTTGCGAAATGGCGGACCAAGGAGGAGACAGCGAGGCTGAAATCCGACTACAGGGCTCCAAGCTGCAGATAAGATACGGACACGGGACGCCGCCAGGATCGGGATTCAGCCTCCTATACTGATGTTTCGGCCATTATATCAGGCAGTTCCCGAATAGTTTTCTTTTGAGTCCATTTTTTCTTATGTAATGCAAAGGTTTGAAAGAAAAATCAGTTAAAAGAAAGATACTTTAATTCTTTTTTTAAAACCTCATTATACACTACGTTGGAAAAACATAAAATAAAAGCATATATCACTTCTATTCTAAAACTTGTAAAAAGTAGCAACGTAAAATGAATTACAGACAAAAGTATACAATTCCTTGTCTTAGTAAAACAAAGGGAGAAAAATCATTAAGGACAGTAATGACGAGATACTAGAGGAGAGACCACACTACTTGTAAAAATGTAAAAAAAAAAAAACGAAGTCTCATATTCACAGATGTTTGTGGGAGGAATTTAAGATGCAGTCTCATGCCCATACACGTCCTGTTCCTGCGTCAGTCATTTTTTTACGTTCTGAAAATGTACAATTATCACATTCAAAGACACCCTTATTCTACAAATAGTTTAGATCACCATGGGTCTTTGTAATGTATTCACTGAATAATGAACTACTGCATTGGTTGGCTTATTCATTTATGTAACTCTGGCTTAATTGAGATAATGATCTGCAAGCACTAAGCAAGAAATGAACCAGCAGAAACCTCCAAATGAAAATGTTACATCTGAGGGTACTTTTCTTTTTCCAACTCTGCAGAGAAAGTGGCGGGGCAGAGTAGGTATCGTGCTGCATTGTCCCTCATGGCATAGGCTGATGGTATCACCACAAGTTGATGGTACCATGGTTTTTTTTTTGGCTAGGCTTTTGGATATCAGTTCTTTGTTTAACATTTCCTGTTTTTTTTTTTTTTTTGAAGTGCTGAGGGTAGACAAGTACACAGATACAACTTGGAATTCTCAAGACAAAGTGAAACTTTGTTTTTCAGGTTCATGTACAGTGTCTCAGAACACTGGAGAATGTACACTGCATGCTTGGAGAGATCAGATTAGTGTGAGGAACTCTGCACTGGATACATGCTAGAACATTCTGTGGCTGTGTTCTTTACAGGGACCCAATTAGTAGCTCACTGACATTTCCCAGAGATCTCTGGAAGGCTGACAACGAGGAGAGGGGCTGGTATAGTTAGTGGAGAGCTTCTGTTGGCCATTTTAATGGGTAGACATTGTTCTGCAAAGATTTGAATGATATTATTACAGGAGCTAAATCTCACTTACAGCACAGAGGCAGTCGTACGGACACTTATGAATTTGCCAGACCTATCTTCCTCAGAGATAAGGTCTTTGAATTATGCATAACGTTACACCGTGACTGATGTTTCATGCACATTTTTTCAATATGTTACGACAGGTAGAAACGCTTCTAGGCAGTGAAAACGTTCCTCTGCTGATTTACGACTGACATTAGGAGATCCTTAGGAAATGTAAGTTCCTCCTAATGTGCTTCTTTTCCAAAAAAGGATACAGAGCGGAGTATTTTATATTATATTAGAGCATGAAGCAGTAACATATTCTGCTTTCACACAATAGAATTCTTTACTGTTGGGCTGAAAAAAGGTTTCCCACTGATTTTGCTCCAGGTTATGGGAAATGCTGGCCTTTGCACAGATTTTTAATGAACAGTTGCAGGCAGAAACAAACAAAATTCTCAAAGGATACTCATTTGGCACATGACTCCACGGCGGATGGCCATTCGCTACGATCCTGGCTCATTTCCTGTTAGAGTAGGAGTGAGAGGGAAAGATGAAGCCTTGGCTTGATGGGACAAGCCCCCCCCCCCCCCATGTCACTCTCAGTATGGGCAGGTCCTTCTGGTTCCTTTGCTGCAGGAAAAAAAACACCAAACACCTAAGGGAGCGGGAAGATAACAAAAGAACGAACCAGAGTGGAAAAACACCACAGCGCATATCTTGAGCCAACAGTCAGGAAGTGCAACTTTTTCTTTGGCTACACCATAAAAGGAACTGTTTTTAATTCCCCCCCCCCCCCCCGAAAGGTCTCTGTAGAAACTGCTTGATTGAACAAAACACAAGAATGAGATGTGATTTCTTAAACGCAGCTCAATAAAAAAGATCACCATTGATCTGAGCTTTACAGAACATGTATAAATTATATAGTGTAATTGTTATATAGTGTAACAGTTTTATGGTGTAACAACTGTGTCTTTGAAGTGATAGTGAGTCTTTGTTTCAAGCAAAATATGTAATATGTAAGTTTTTATTCATAGTGTTTCTTTGTATATTTCAATCTGATTAAAAAGTTTTCACAGAAAGGTATTCCATTTAAATAGGTTTTCCTTAAAATTGGGTGCGACTTCCTTGCATTATTTTGCTACCAACTCTTTTATAAAAGACTGTACCACTAAATAAACTCCTGAGTTATTGTAGATTATAGTGTGATTCGTGTTCAGTGAGATAGATTCACAAATTCACACAGGTGTAACCGATCACCTAGCAACCAGATGAACTATGTCAAGGTAGTGCCTGTCAATTTTTTATTAACAAGCAATTTGTATAATTATAAGTTGCAACAACATCCTACAAACTTAATATTCACTTGCCTTTGCGTCTTTGAATTTTTTCTTTTGTCACTCAATACAGTATATGTAATTATGCTTCTCTATTAAATTGCATTGGATGAAACTGCTCGTGTGAACCAAAACTTACTCAATCGGCAGTGCAGTGTCTTACATGCTCATCCAGATTCTGCATCTCTCCAAAAGTGCAGGGATATTTGTGTTATGGTGAATCAATAATAAATGGGAAGTTGTTATTGATCGTTTTGCGTGTTTTCAATTATTTAAAGTCTCCTTGTACTCCCATTTAAAATTCATAACCGCTGTGTATATTTAGCAATCTCAGTTGCCTTTTACAGGCAGTTCACTGACTTCAGAGTGAATAGCATTAAGATTCTAAAGCTACTGCCCCTTTTTTCCAATATCAAGCAAGATCTGATTGTGGCTTTTCAGGTTTCAAAGCACAACAAATGTCCTTTGTGAAAACTTTGTCTTAAAAGAGGTTGTTTGAGAATGCACTGAAAAGAGGTTATAATTATCTATGGATAATTGTCTTGGAACAGCATAGACCAGTGAGTGAATGTGTCTGTGTAAAGTATATAATGGAACAGGAACATTCTAGGTCTCCCACATCACAGAACTGCTATTCCTCCAGGAAAATGACATCAATTTTTTCATCCATACCCTATATATTGAATAAAGCAATTCCCATTTAACATTTAATCAGAAGAGCAGCTGGGACTTGTGGCGGTAGATGTGAGGTTGTTTAGATGATTTAGATCTATGTAAAAAAAACCCAGCAACATCTGTCAATTTCAATATCTACAGTGTGGATCCATGGTTGGCGTATGATGGATGCATTATGGAAAGGTTCATTTGTGGCTCACGATGAGGTCGTGGCTGTCATTTAAAGGGCCCCCTCCCTTACGTCTACACCAGCAAACATACACCCCTTTTTTTTTATTCTCGGTGTGGTAGCTCATTGAGAGCCCAGACAATTCTCACAGTTCTGAAAGTATGTGTGAAACCTACAGAAGGAGCATCTGGTTTCATGTAACTGGAGATGTTACACGGGAGGAATAATGCACTCATTTCTTGGCAGTTAGGGCGAGGGAGGGAAAGGTTTAATCTGAGGAAATTCCTAAGCTGCAATCGGGCACTATTCTCTGACCATATCTGGGATAAATCACAGGAATTTCCAGACACATCCCTTTCCAGCGGCAGAGATCCTCCACTGTAATGTTATCGTGTCTTTGTGATTCAAAGGCTTATGCGAGACAATCAGGGAGTATCTTTAACATGTAGAGGAGCGACATTTAAGCACATTACTGCTCAGATTAATAGCATGGGAAGTATTACCTTGTGAAACTGAACAGGTATAATATACTGCATTGTAGAGAGCAGTGATTGAGGTGTCAAACATTTATACACTGGACAGAAAAGAAACCAAAATAATTACCTATTATTGTTACAAGAAGGATGTTAGGGATTGCACCAGGCTGTGAATGATTTAAATACGTAATAAACCTTTGCACATTGGAACAAAAATTTAAATATATGCATTTTATACCCGCAGTACCCTCACAGGATAAGGGATTTATTCTCACTTTTTAGACATTTATCTCCTTCAAAAAAGTCACAGCTGCATATGCATGATGAATGGGACAGGAATGCCAAGAGAAATGTGATTTCCTGTCTTAGTGTGTTTGTATGGGTTACTCCGTGAGATGAACTGTGACTGAGATGCAACTACAATCCGTGCTGTGAACACAGGTTACTCTGTGCTATATTAAAAACACTGACTAAAGTGACTGACCCTTCTCAGAAAGAGCTTTCAAATGTCTAGCGCAGTGTTTCCCAATCTGGTCCTTGGGGACCCACACGTTTTTGCTACCGGGACCTGGGAGGGAGCAAAAATGTGGACTGTCTGGTAGGGAATTTGGAGGGTGCAAAAACATGGAGAGGTTGGGGGTCCCCAAGGACCGGATTGGGCAACACAGGTCTAATGTGCAGCTGTGGTCGAACGCAGGACTGCTTCAGGCACAGGACACTTTGGGCTGAAGGGAATCATGAGGAAACGTGTCTGGACTCAGTCGTGGAGTTTGATCAATGAGTTTGTTTGAGGCCGTCAAGCTCCCTCAATGCAAATGCTAATGCAATACAAAAAATATAGCACAGGTTGGGCGGCCTGTGCCTTTCATGCAGCTGCTTTGCTTAAACTGCTCGAGGGCTTGGGGCTGGAGGAACAGAGTAGTTTGATTGTGGCTGCTGGCTAGCATCCATAAGTCAAGGTTGTCTTGCTTAACAGGCTATGCTAGTGATGGCCAAATGAAGCCTCATGAACCATTTGCTGTATTTTTTGACCACACTAGAGGGTGCTCCTGGTTTGATTTGGGGCATGCTTTGAGCCCTTTTTTTAAACAGCACCATCTAGTGGGGTCAGAAAATACAGCAAGTGGTTCGTGCGGCTTCATTTTGCCATCACTAGCATAGCCTGTTAAGCAAGACAACCTTGACTTATGGATGCTAGCCAGCAGCCACAATCAAACTAGACTATGGATATCTAGACTATGGATATCCTATGGATATTCTAGACTATGGATATCCTGGTTACTCTAATTAAAGGATAAACGTTAAATGGAGGGCTGCGGTTTGATATATTAGTGAAAAAATATCAAAGAGATAGATTACGTAGCTAGTGGCCTTTATATAATATATAATTTATTGTTTTCCTTTATTCTGTAATTTGCGGGTCTGTTAGATTTGATGGACTGAGTATGATCCTTTTTGAATCATCAAATGTTAAGTCGAGCCAAATCTCCTACCTTGATCTTTGAATCGTATTGATAGGTTCCTTCTTTGTTAGAAGCTGTTGTGTAGCTCCTGCTCCCATACTGCTTGTACCTGGGCGCTCATTAGAAGCCGAGTCTAGCTGCATTTACGCTTCGTCGACCCCTTGACAGCACATATGTTTGCAATGTGCCGTTCGCCTCACTTGTACGTCACTCTCGACAAAAGCGTCCACTAAATATAAGTAAAATGTAAATGTAAAAAGTATGAGGCCCTGGTGCACTGGTTTCCAAGGAGACCACAGGTGTCATTTTACCCTTCCCCATCCCCTCCAAAATGCAGTCCCACTCATTAAATATTCACCGTGCGGCAGAACTGGAGCTCTCCCCAACACATTATCTCCCCTCTCCATTTCCCATGGAGACCATCTCTGTGAGTCCCATACGAGGGTCCAATTACTCGCAATGCCAGTTTGCCCTTCTTATATACCAATATAGGGAATTGCACTGTAATATCAACAAAAATGTGGTGTAGTTCACTTGCAATCCATTAAAGGGAATATTCATTGAAAACGGTATACGTCTCAATTAACACAAGTGCTATTTCATGTTAAGGTTTTCTACTAACTCTTAAAGAACCAGAAAATTGTTAACAGAAACAGCCTTACATCACTCCCCGAATCAAGATTGCCGTTCTTCTCTGCCTTTCGCCACATTGGGATTTTAAGGTAAATTGCTAGTTGTTCACACCTGACTATAGCTGGGTTAACAAGTCCACAGGTGCGTCTGCTGAGAGGTAATTGGTGGGCGTGGCCCCGATGGTTGAGCCCCGATTGGCCAAGATAATTTACTAGAGTAAAGCAGAGAGCGAATGTATGCTACTCAGGAAGCATTTCTCACAACCAATCATTAATCGGAAAGGCGGAGTTGTTCCAATACACAACAGCTCTTAGATAACAATCCAGTTATTGGTAGCTTGTATATAAATTATTGTATTTAAATTTGAATGCTATGCTTTTAGGTAATTGTTAGGCCTGTAATCTAGTAAGGTAGCTTGTTTAGGAAACCTCCCAAACACGTGAAATCATATTGGAATCTGTTCAATACAATTTGTAGAATTGCATTTATTTTTTAGTCTTGTGATATGGTGACAAATACTATATAACATTTATCGGTTGCCTGTAAAAATTTCCTGAGAAAGCTGGACTGTGGCAGACACTTAAGAAAAAGCTGGAAGTGAGTCGTTATTTTCCATGATGTGAAACTTCCCCTTTGCATGGTGCAGACAGAGCTTTGGGTTTTGGGTACACTATTATGGAAGTTCGGATTTGGCCCTTAGTTTGTGCTCCCTGCCATAATTTAGATAATTGTATGTGTAAATCGCTCAATAACTGGACATGGAGCTTATTATTTATCTGCTGTCAGAATTGCTCTCTCTGCAAAAGGGCGGGTCTGAATGGCCAGCCTTCCTGTCGGGATTACCTGGCATGTTTCACACTGCTCACTGACACAGACAAACTCCCCCCCCACACACAAGCGGCTCCTTTATAGTGCCCATGGATGCTAGTCTCTGTGAATATAAAGGGGACACTTTCCCAACAGGACTCTCCACAGTGTGCTACAGGACCACAGAGTCTTCCTGCGGAATTCCTTCGGAACATTAGATTCCATGGGCTGGAATGTAAACATAGTCAAAAGAATGACTTTGAAATATATGAAGAACTGTCTTATGAGACGTAATCAATAATAATTCTTCTTGCAATACTATGACCAGTATTAAATTTACCTTGCAGGGAAAATAATTATGCATAAGACCATACCAGGTCAAACATTTTTTTTTCTGCGGTACTGTGATTAAGGAGGTTCCATCATGCATACAATTAAACAATGGCTGGCAAAGGCCTCCCTCTTTATTGGTAACATTTCCTTTAAAAACATTGGCCGTCTATTCTAAAACAGAATACGTAATTCCCATTCCACAATAGGTCTGGTTCCATGTTCACAAGGCCAGTAACCTTCAGTCCATTCATAACCGGCATGCAGACGTGTGGAATCTCTGAAAAGCATCGTAAAGACCAGGTAAAAGCTCAAGGCAGGGCCTTGGGCTAGGAAAATTCTGAATGGATCTTGTCATATGCAGGTGAAGAGAGTGAGGGCAAGTATAGACAGATTTTTGTCTGTATTTTGTCTTCAGTGACTCCAAATGAACTCGCAAACTCTTTAATGGGAACATAAGTGGTCAGATTTATTACAATTTAGACTTCCAGACCAGTCACAGTTCAAAGATGGTTCAACTCAGACTTAAGTTGGTCTTATGATACCCAGAGACATTTGACTT